TCCCCTCAGCCCGCTCCCAAAAGCCCCCCCCCCTCGTCCCTCGGCTCCACATTTGCCCCCGCCGTCAGGGCGAGGCCGGGTTTTCGGCCCGGGGCCCGTCCGGAGAGCGCGGGCCGCGGAGGCCTCCGGTCGCTGAAGGCGGACGTCTCTTGCAGAGGGCGCGGATCGACCTCCCCCCGGTCCCGGCGGTGGAGCCCCGGGATGCGGTTCCGCACCTGCGCTGCCCCTCGCTGGAGCACTTCAGGGACAACTACCTCCTTCCACAGAAGCCGGTGGTCTTGGAGGGGATTATTGACCACTGGCCGTGCATGAAGAAGTGGAGGTGAGGAACAGGAGTCCCTTCCCTCTGCCCTAGCGAGGGCTGCTGTGTCTGTCTTGGTGCTCGGAGCAGTAGGGACCATCACAGGAGACGGGTGCCATGGCAGTGGCCTTGTTGGCAATAGTTAACAGACGTAAAGGAGGTTTTAAAAACAAAACAGGCAGTTGTGGCACAAGATACACACAAAGTTGACTGTGTGCATCCGTTTCTGCTGCCTTTTGTCTCTGGTCGGTTGGTTTTAGAGAGAAGAAACTCATGGTAGTAGGGTTTTATTACTCTAAAAGATTGGTTTTGATCGGTTGCCTTACATTCGTGATTAGTGAGAAGAGCAGTAAAAGGGTAATGGCACTTTCTTTGTTTCAGTGTGGACTATTTTTGTCAAGTCGCAGGGTGCCGCACAGTCCCCGTGGAGCTGGGTGCCCGGTACACGGATGAGGAGTGGTCTCAGCAGCTGATGACTGTGGGTGACTTCATCCAGCAGCACATCGTGAACGAGGTCTGTTGTGCTCGTTGTGTCACCTCCCAACACAGCAGTGAGCTGCTGGCCCAGAACTGCTGCTCAGAACAAGTGTGCTTAGAGCTGATGTCAAGGGAAGGGGGTGTGCTTTAAGCACAACCCTGAGCTAAAGGTTTGTCCTGTTTTCAGGATCTGAAGCACCAAACAGTTACTGCAACAATAGCTAGGGTTGATTTTTATATATAATCAAATGTACAGCAGCTGGAACTTGATGGATAGAGAGATACCTTATACAGCAAAAGCCTGAGTGGTGGAGTCTAAGGAGAAGGGATCCTCAGCCAGCAGTTGTCTTCCTCTTGGTTATTAAGCCGCTTAGTAAGATCTAGGATCAAGATCCAAATTCACGTGCCACCAGGTAAAAAAAGCGACAGTTGGTTAGCAATTGAGTGTCCTTTCACAGCTGAGGATCTGAAGTTTCAGTTTTCAGTCTGGCAGGAAGGACCATGCCATCGCAGGGTGGACTGCGAGCAGCCTGGAGCAGGAGATGGAGATCCCTGCAGGGTCAAGAGAGGAGCTGCTCGGGGCCAGCAGGGTCTCCTGTGAAGACGTCACAGGACTGGCAGGGCTGTCGAGACCCCTGGGATTACAGCCAGGCTTCTGCCTGGAACCGCAGCTAGAGAATTTGTTGGTTGTGGGGATTTATCTGCACTCTGACAATGCCAGTGTAGCTGTAAGTTACCTTTTCAGAAGACCCCTCATACTGCAATTCTTGAAACAATTATTGTACTGTGAAATAGGACATTGGAAATAGACGTTACCTGTAAGTAACTGACTGGCTGAGAAGTTGACCCTGTACGTCACTGTGCACGTTTCTCTGCTCTAATTTCAGAACAACACAGGATACCTTGCCCAGCACCAGCTTTTTGATCAGGTAAAACCAAGTGAAGGTTTTTGTCTTTCTGCAGTCCAGTGTTCCCCTCGTAGTGCATCATCTCTGTGGATGTCAGCTGTGCTAGATGGAAGGGCCTATGGAGAATTCACAGTATTTCTGTTCCCATGGTTTGAAGGAACAGAGGGAGGGTTTGTTATGTGTGGCTGAAAGTTATGGAAACAAAACCCTTTTGGGAGTGAAGACATTCAGCCTCAGTGCAGTTTCAGTACCACGTAGCGTGTATCGTCTGGAGAGGAGCACTTCCCCACACAACGTGTAAGTCAGGGAGGAGACTTGGACAGGGAAGTCATACGCAGTGGTCATTCACCGGGCTCTGAAACACCTTTCCAGTTAGCCAGAGATTAGGTTGGTGGGAGACGTAAAAAAGTTTTTCATGGAGAAACAAGCTTTGTGTATGAAAGATCAGCTGCTCCTTTTCCCTGAACAGCAAACCTCCTTGTTCTTGTGGGTTTCTCTGGTTTCTGCTGAGGCAAAGAGTCCCTGAAGAATGAGAAACCCCGTTTTTTTCTCCCACCACCCTCGCAGCAGAACCTGCTTGCTAGGACGGGAGTGTGAGGCCGTATCCTGCAGACTCCTAGCAGTGCAGTGACTTCTGCCTGTGCTGGACAAGCAGTTCATTTGTTTTCTGTGTGTCAGGCAGCACGTACCCTTTTTAATGTTTATTTCTTTGTGGGGGCAGATCCCAGAATTGAAAGAGGATATTGGTATCCCCGACTACTGCTGCCTGGGGGAAGGGGAAGAAGAAGACATCACCATTAACGCCTGGTTTGGTCCGGAAGGCACCATCTCGCCTCTTCATCACGATCCCCAGCAAAACTTCTTGGCCCAGGTCTGTACTCTGCTTGCTCTACACATGCCATTAATGCTATAGCTAGAAAACGTGCTTATGGTGGGTAGGTGTTAGAAACGGGGGTAGCAGGGAACTCGATGAGCAATTGAAGGACAGATGTGCAGCTATTTTGCTCTTCTGTTGCATTTGTGGCTATTGCAACTTAATGTAATCTTGTAGGCCACAAGTGCTCCTCATTGAGATAGACCATTTGTCGAGGTTTAGAGCTTTGGAGAGACAGCATTACCTCATTTTACCGATAATTGGAAATCACAAAAAGCAGCTTTTCCAAGGTCACGCAAGGAATTTGTTACAGTTGGGAAGAACCTGGATCCTGTCATAGTGTAGCAAGGAACTTCCTTTTCTGGAACAGCAAGATTTTGGGGCACGCTTGGGTTCACACGTCAAGTTGCCCAGTAAAATACCTGCTCGTGCATGCACTGAGAGTCAGATGAAGTAATGTCTGCACTGTGAGCTCACTGCTCTGACGAGAGCTCCTGTTGGTGGGCTTGTTGGTGACAGTGACACAGAAATAAGCGCTGATGGAGGGTGTGGAAC